TTCAATGCGGGTCGAACTCGAGATTTTCAAGGGGTTGATCCGTTGCTAGGAAGCAGGGGTAGTTTTCAGGAACCTGATTACATCGGAGAATCAATTTTATCAGATGGAGACGAATTTCCAACCAAAATTTCCGTCGACTTCAAACAAACCTATGCCAATGCTCCTGTCACTGACGTCAACACCGGACTCATCTTCGCCAACTCCTCCGTTTTCGATTGTTACAGTTCTGTTACCGGCGAAAAAATCTACTGGGAATATGACCTCCATCCCATCGGACAGGAACTACTCAATCTGACAGTGTCGGAGTTGCTCAAACACATCGCGAGCGAAGTTCAACTGGCCCACTCGAGGTACGCTGCGCCCCTCGACGCAACACCGCTCCACGAAAGGTGCATTTACAGAGTGAAAGATCAATGTCCAGAAAAAAGCGTGCTTGGGCCGGGATGCGCCCGCAGCACGGGGTACGTTCTGAATTCTGAAGATGCAACTATTTATCGAAATCCGTTTTGCTGTGCGTGCAACGAAAAGAACACGCCTTTGATCTCCTACGTCGATCCGTCGATATGGGGCGGTTTCAGAGGCAGCTCTGAGTTTAGAATCACGATGATACCTGAATGGAACAGGGTGAGATTCATCGCCTCGTTTAATCCCTTACGGGAGTATTTCTTGGCACCTTTGTGGAAGGTGATGACGTGCGAAGAGTCTGATGCACCTCGGATGACATCGATAGGAAATGACGTCATGTATCGAAACGGGCGTCAAACGTGCCGCATCCTGTCTTGCAGGGCAGGAGTTTTAAAATACGGAAAGTGTTATGTTGGGACCTTTTTTGTAATTAAACTTCCCCATATTCCGGGGAAATCTAACATAGGCGACTTCAACAAGATCCCCAGGTGCCTCATGATATTCAACAAAGAAATAGTCGAGGCGTCTGTTTCTGTAAACCCAGTGGGCGAGACCCCCGATGGTCCCATCTACCATCTTAAAATGTACGTGTTCGGCTACAAGGACTTTGCGCTGGATTTGAATTTGCGCGAATTCGTCTTAAATATCGTCTGGGCAAATGTTGGGCATCTAGGAATGCGGCCTGCCGATTTCTGTGTGCTGAGCCTCGGGAAACATGTGACAGTACCCCGGGGTCGGGTCACAAGTCTCTGCTTGGACACGCGGCAGTTCAGGTCTACGGATCGCTGCACGGCGGGCTGTTGTTGGGCGACCACTAGTGTGATTCAGGTCATTGCCATGGCTTTGGGTTGTCAGTTCCTGTAAGATCATCCACTGGAGCCGTCTCCTTGTCGTACACTGTACGATAGTGACGTTTTGAGCACACACAAAACCACAACTTGACCAAAGGCAGTAAAGTAATTTGTTCTTCACTTAGTGTCCTGTCATTCATGACTCTATAAATCTTGACTATTTTGATTTGTCTTATCGTCCCGGGAGTTTCCTTCTTCCCCATTCTGACATTGGAGTTCAACATTGGAGTTCAACATTGGAGTTCAACATTGGAGTTCAACATTGGATTTTAACATTTGAGTTCAACATTGGAGTTCAATATTGGAGTTCAACATTGGAGTTCAACATTGGAGTTCAACATTGGAGTTCAACATTGGAGTTCAATATTGAAGTTCAACATTGGAGTTCAACATTGGAGTTCAACATTGAATTTTAACATTGGAGTTCTACATTTTGAATCTTGACAATTCGTTGGTATCCAAGATATTTTCTCTCTTTTCATCTCACTGATATGTCCTCCACTCCACTGGGACGTCTTCCACTGCAACCCCCCTGCCCCGGGTGGTACCTCCACCAACCCTGCACGCCTTGTTGTGCCAGATTTCCAGCTATATTGGTATGTCAAAAGCCTGGGGAATTTTGCCGGAAAATTTGTCCCCGTTTAGGACGAAACCAAGGGGGTGTGTGTTCGGCAGCGCTGTTTCTTTTCGTTACATTCACAGAGGGTTATCCTTTTATTTAGAAAAGCTTTCTAATCTCGAAGTGGCGCAGTGAGTCCTCATTTTGGAATGTAGCTATACGCCTGTTGCCTTAAAACTTGCTGATTTTTTATTGTAAACTTTTTTTTTTTTTGCAGGACGTGACACGATGTAGCATGTCATCGGTGCAAGACGTGTTTATTTTACTGTAAAAATAACTTAATTATTTCAGACAAAAGATTTTCAACTTGCCACAGGGGCTGAACTATTTTTCGCTTTCTATACGACACAAGGGATCAACCGAATTGGGATTTTCTATTTTTAAAAAAAAATATTTTAAAACTTTTTCGTTTGCTTTTTTGTTTCGGCCGAAATCAGAAACAAAAATCATGCCCAAAAGTGTTAAAGTGGGAAATAACAGCGACGAAATCGAAACCGAATTTCGGTCGGACTCTACATGACGCACAAAAAGAACAAAAGGAAGAGCTTCCTTAAAAGAAATATAGCCAAATAATTTGGTGTGCAACAACCCATACATAGCCAAATAATTCGGTGTGCAACAACCCATACATAGCCAAATAATTCAGTGTGCAACAAGCCATACATAGCCAAATAATTCGGTGTGCAACAACCCATACATAGCCAAATAATTCGGTGTGCAACAACCCATACATAGCCAAATAATTCGTGTGCAACAACCCAAACATAGCCAAATAATTCAGTGTGCAACAACCCATACATAGCCAATTAATTCGGTGTGCAACAACCCATACATAGCCAAATAATTCGGTGTGCAACAACCCAAACATAGCCAAATAATTCGGTGTGCAACAACCCATACATAGCCAAATAATTCGGTGTGCAACAACCCATACATAGCCAAATAATTTGGTGTGCAACAACCCATACATAGCCAAATAATTCGGTGTGCAACAACCCATACATAGCCAAATAATTCAGTGTGCAACAACCCATACATAGCCAAATAATTCGGTGTGCTACAACCCAAACATAGCCAAATAATTCGGTGTGCAACAACCCATACATAGCCAAATAATTCAGTGTGCAACAACCCATACATAGCCAAATAATTCGGTGTGCTACAATCCAAACATAGCCAAATAATTCGGTGTGCAACAACCCATACATAGCCAAATAATTCGGTGTGCAACAACCCATACATAGCCAAATAATTCAGTGCGCAACAACCCATACATAGCCAAATAATTCGGTGTGCAACAACCCAAACATAGCCAAATATATCGGTGTGCAACAACCCATACATAGCCAAATAATTCGGTGTGCAACAACCCAAACATAGCCAAATAATTCGGTGTGCAACAACCCATACATAGCCAAATAATTCAGTGTGCAAGTGCAACAACCCAAACATAGCCAAATAATTCGGTGTGCAACAACCCATACATAGCCAAATAATTCGGTGTGCAACAACCCAAACATAGCCAAATATCTCGGTGTGCAACAACCCATTCATAGCCAAATAATTCGGTGTGCAACAACCCAAACATAGCCAAATAATTCGGTGTGCAACAACCCATACATAGCCAAATAATTCAGTGTGCAACAACCTATACATAGCCAAATAATTCGGTGTGCAACAACCCATACATAGCAAGATATAGTCAGACAAAGTTAAGCTACTTGACGTAACAAACTAAACATATTATTACTTGGAGTAATCGATTCCAGAACAATTTTTTTTTTAAAAAGAAATATTTTTTTAATAAGAAATCCTCTGTTAACATATCATGTGCATGCTCTAACTCTAAATAAGACATTGAAAATAAAAGATTTACGTTTCTCACTTCTCGGCACGTTCTGTATTGTGCCGTAGATGCTGTGAAGCTTTTTATTAAACCATAAATGCTTTGAAATCATCAACAGTTATCAACAATTAGTCATTTACCTGCGTTTTCGTGTAAGATTCCAGAAGGTGATAATTTTTTTTAAAGGGATTACAATAACTGATATCGCCATCTTGTTTAAGTTTCCATTGCTGGTTTATTTTCGTTTTTTTTCTCCTCTCTTTTTTCAATTTAAATTATAAGATAATTATAAAATGGGGTTGATGATGGGTGAAAAATAAACATGTGTTAAACAATATAAACGATGTTTTTAAACATAATAAATCAATGATGATGAAATAAATGCTATAAACATAAGCCCATAGCTGTTGCGATTATGTCTGAAGCCCGCGCACAACAAGTGGTAAGTAAGCAGGTCAAGGTCAGTGAATCATAAAAATTTTAAAAAATACTTTTAAAAAACGATATTCAGCACAAATGAGTTATTGTGGAATCGTGACGTCAGTTCAAACATTCAGAAAGCTCCAGAGCGTCAGTAGTTCAACTCCTTCGGCAAAAGAAATAGGCCAAGGGCTCAAATCAAACCGCTCTGTTGGTCTTCAAACTCAAACCATTTGTTTCATTAGATTCCCAACTGATCTCTCTTGTTGTATGTTATAAGAGTTTTATCTGGCTCCCATAAATTCAGGAAAAAGAAAAGAGAAGAAGACAGTTTATTGTTCTGAATGCAAAGATTTTCGACCAGACAAGTGAATTCGCTCGAGGCACTTGAACTGAATGTTAGGGGTCGTTCGCAAATTGCGTCACGCAAAAAAAAAAAAGGCCTTTTTAGACCACACCCCTTCCCACCCTGTCACAAAGTGTCTTTACACCCCCCCCCCCCTTTCACGTCACACCTAAAAAAATCAAAACATATATACAATTTTTATAACTTAACTAAGATTTTATTTTATACTTCAACATTTTCCCGTTAGTGGATTCAGATGTATTCTTAGAAAATTGTGACGTAACACGCCAAGCAACGAAGTCCTCCCAGAGCCGAATGTAAAATGGCCACAACAGTTGACTGAGTTTCAAGGTGCCAAATAATACCTGAGGCAATTTCCACCTCAAATTAGTGCATTGAAAATTAATTGAATAAAGATTTTGTTCAAAATAAGTATATTTTAGATTTAAAAAAAAACAAAAAAACTTGACGTCACAAATTTTTACCCCCCCCCCCTCTGTCACTAAGTCTCGACCCCTCCCCTTAGCGTGACGTAATTTGCGAACGATCCCTTAAACCAGTGGTTCTCAACCTTCCTAATGCCACGACCCTTTAATACAGTTCCTCATGTTGTGGCAACCCCCAGCCTCAAAATTATTTTCTTTGATACTTTATAACTGTGGTTGAGGTTGAGAACCGCTGCCTTAAACAGATATCCACCAAAAATGGATAACTAGATGCAGTTACATATTTTTTTTTTAAAAATAGTGTGTTTGGGGCTACGTTACTTATACGATACGTCGTATCTTATGTGACGTGAGCTGTGTTGTGTTGTTGTGTAAAAAGCTTTGAGAGACCATAGTGCACCCCCAGACTTAGCGATAATGGTGCACCAACAGACTCAGTGGTAATGGTGCACCACCAAACTTGGCGATAGTAGTTCACCACCATACTTAGTGAAAATGGTGCACCAACAGACTGAGCAATGCATAACGCTAAAGGAGAAGGAAATTTGAAAAGGTAAAAAAAAAAAAATTGACCAAGCAAACGTCATTCACGTTATTAAACGGGGGAGGGGGGGGGAAGGCTGACACCATGCCGTTGACCACACTGGGTTGACACCAACCCTATCGGCGCCAACTGGGCCATGCATACTTGCCAATGGCTTCTAAACTTTAACCACTTTATGTCTCGTGAGTTAAACAATGTTACAGACAACTTGGAGAAATGAAAATTTTCCTTAATACAAAGATGTGGAGCCCAGTTGCGGGTCTCTGGGATATAAATGCAAAAAAATTATGTTACGCAACTTTCAAAAAGATAATAATAAACAACACAAATTTATACATTTGAAAACAGCAATTAATTTACCTCATTTTAAAATAATAAAAATAAATGTAAAATGCATGAAAAACCAAACAATAAAATAAGGGAAGCTGAAAATGTATTAAAAAATAATTGAACTTAACTGAACAACGCTGGTGAATAAATAAACTCTCAAAGTTGAACACATGTGCTTACAACACAAATGGAATCGATAACATAGCAACGTCCTGATTTACAAAGGTAAGGAAAACAAAGCATCTGGTTTTCAATTAAACTGTTGTAAGATGAAGATATGTAACCAAGGTGATGGCACCCACACATGAGAGATGATGAACACGAGACCGGATCTCCCTTCACGAATCTTCTACGGCAGTCGTTTTAGTCGACTGTGTGTTAGTGGTTTAGTAACACCTAAGAAAATTCAAATATATACATAAAATTTTCATAAATAAACTAATATTTGATTTTATTCTTTAAAGCTTTCCTATAATGGATTAAGATGCAGTAGAGTTCTTCAACTGGTTTCACAGTAACTATAATACCGGAGGCAATTTCTACCTCAAATAAACGTTTGTAAAATTAATTAAATAAAGATTTTTTTTTCAAAATTAGAACATTTTAAATTTTTTAAAAAACGTGACGTCAATTTTTTTTACCCCCCTCCCACCGGTCAATATTCTCACCCCTTCCCCCCCTGAATGTGACGTAATTTGCGTACGACCCCTTATCAGCTGGCCAACATGACCACACCAAAAAATGTCGATTGTGTGCTGAAGTCCACAATGTTTAGCCCAGAGAGCTGCACTTGGACCTTGTCTCCAGCTATCAAATGGAACACACCACCTGTGGAAGATTTCAGAATAAAATTAATCAACCTCTAATAACAAAATTTTTTGTATAACTCCTTGATAAAATGTAATCCCGAGCACTGGTAGTGTTGGGGGGGGGGGCTGGACATTTGACCAGTTGGGGGCGCTGGACATTTGACCAGTTGGGGCGCTGGACATTTGACCAGTTGGGGGCGCTGGACATTTGACCAGTTGGGGGCGCTGGACATTTGACCAAATAGTCCTACAAGTAACGCACTTTATGAGAATCCCAATGAATGCTTTCCCCCCCCCCCCCCCCCCCCCAGGCTCGCAATCGAACATAGATCAATGTTCCCCCTCAGCTGCACGGCTGCGCGGCCGCGCAGCTATCTCACAGACGCCGCGCAGCAGTTTTGAGTACCGCGCAGCGAATTTCCTTGTAAGTGTGTGTTTGTGGGCTGTAAAATTTTGCACACACAAAAATTGATGCTGTAACACGCTGCACACAACTGTATGATTTTGCACACGAACTAACAACCTTAGAGGGAACATTGCCCTTGATTATATAAATATTCTAATTAGCCACCGCTTTCATACCGCAGATTGATTTCACCAATTACTTCAGAAAGACACCCAAACATTTTTTTTTAAATTACGCACCAAACGCATTGAAAAAAAAAAAAATCTCACTTAGCTCAGTGATCTGGAATTTTATTGCGTGAAATCATTGACATAATATTTCCCTCATCGTTTCCTTTGAAAAACAGGAATAAGTGATTTTGGGGGGTTAGGATGGGGCTGAAAATTTATCAGAATGTGTTGTCATCTGCAACGCTCGACAGGTCGACGGGAAGTGGGCCAATTAGCCGTCCGAAGATTTTTCCGGCCACGATAAAACAGCAAGGTTAATAACGATAAAGATGTAAAAATATCTCACTGCTCTGTTGATAAAGAGTTGCTCTAATCACGTGTCAAACTGATATAGATGTCTTATGAATACTGGCTAGTTACTCGTGTGATCAACAAAGAGATACAGAATAATAGAAGCCTGGCAAAGATGGGATGACGTCCACTGATAAATCCTATAACTGAAGTTGTCTCCTTGTTTTGTATTCTTCCTGTTTGCTTTCGTTTTGGTTTTGTTTTAATACATTTTACAGCAACAAAACAAATAAAAAAACTTTTCAGAAGCTTTGTTAACAAGCTGGCTCTAAATAATATTGAGTCACCCGTGGTAATAAGTTACCTGAAATAGCAGTCGCCCGTTATATCCGTCTCCATGTGATTTAATCTACTGGATCACCAATCACCTGTTAAAACGTGTGCCACGTGTAAAATCAGTCCCCCTCACTTAAGAGTTACAGGTGATAACACTTACAGGGGATGGTTACAGGTGATATCTTTTACAGGTGATATCCGTTACCGGTGATGTCCGAAGTTGCAGGTGATATCAGTTAATGGTGATAGCCCTTACATGTGATATTAGTTACAGGTGATATAAATTGCAGGTGATATAAGTTACAGGGGATATTAGTGACAGGTGATGTCAGTGACAGGTATTATCGGTGATATCAGTTACCGGTGATATCGGTTACATCTGATACCAATTACCGGTGATTTTGATATCAGGTGCAGGTGATAACGGTTAGCGGAGATATCAGGGACAGTTAAACCACACGAGTTACCTGTGAATACAGTCTCCTCTGGCTCCCGACAGGCCTGGCACACGGTGTACAAGGCTTTGAGTAGAGCGTTTACTTCAGGTGGCTTAAAGACAGCGGGTCTCACCCTGACCACATGCAAGTACCACGTCTAGAAAAAATAATCAATTATATTTTCATCAGGAAGGGAGGGGGGGTGCTTGCAAAACAGTGCATATGTAAATATACACATTCCGACAGCATCACATAATAATATATGTAGAAGCAGCTGCTCTTGTGGGGACACAAACGAATTCTGTTAAGGGCAAGTTCGATCATGCTACGCCCAGTTGCAGCTAGGCCAGCGGCAAAGCCTAATCAGTAAAACAAGTTGAATTTAAAAATTACTTCATTTCTTCTTTGGATGCTATTTCAATGCTGAGTCAGTACATTTTCACACAGTTTCAGCACATTTTCACACTGTTTTAGTACATTTTAACTACGTTTCATTACATTTTAACTACGTTTCAGTACATTTTAACACTGTCTCAGTACATTTTAAAAATCTTTAGGAACAATAGGTTCGGACTACGCTAAAGCTTTTAAGTAACTTAGCAATTTAAAAAACAATTTGTATAAATAAAACGTTGTATGTTTGCATTAATTTAACAACGAAGTACAACTTTAAACTTACCTCAGGTTTGTCTATTGCATTTAGACGTTACCTTGGGTTTGTCTATTGAATTTAGACGTTACTTTGGGTTTGTCTATTGAATTTAGACGTTACTTTGGGTTTGTCTATTGCATTTAGACGTTACTTTGGGTTTGTCTATTTAATTTAGACGTTACTTTGGGTTTGTCTATTGAATTTAGACGTTACTTTGGGTTTGTCTATTGCATTTAGACGTTACTTTGGGTTTGTCTATTGCATTTAGACGTTACCTTGGGTTTGTCTATTGAATTTAGACGTTACTTTGGGTTTGTCTATTGAACTTAGACGTTACTTTGGGTTTGTCTATTGAATTTAGACGTTACTTTGGGTTTGTCTATTGAATTTAGACGTTACTTTGGGTTTGTCTATTGCATTTAGACGCTACTTTGGGTTTGTCTATTGCATTTAGACGTTACCTAGGGTTTGTCTATTGAATTTAGACGTTACTTTGGGTTTGTCTATTGAATTTAGACGTTACCTTGGGTTTGTCTATTGAATTTAGATCTTATCTTGCACTTGTCTATTGAATTTAGATGTTACCTTGGGTTTGTCTAGTGAATTTTTATGTTACCTTGGGTTTGTCTATTGAATTTACATGTTATCTCGCGTTTGTCTATTGAATTTAGATTTAACTTGGGTTTGTCTATTGAATTTAGATGTTATCTCGCGTTTGTCTATTGAATTTAGATGTTACCTTGGGTTTGTCTATTGAATTTAGATGTTACCTTGAGTCTATTGAATTTTGATGTTACCTTGGGTTTTTCTATTGAATTTAGATGTTACCTTGAGTTTGTCTATTGAATTTAGAGTTACCTTGGGTTTGTCTATTGAATTTACATGTTATCTCGCGTTTGTCTATTGAATGTAGATGTTACCTCGGGTTAGTCTATTGAATTTAAATGTTACCTCGGGTTAATCTATTGGATATTAGATGTTACCTCGGGTTTGTTTATTGATATTAGATGCTTACCTCGGGTTTTTCTATGTTGGTTTTTCTAAAATGTATACTGCAGTAAACAAAGTACATTCCTGTGGAAGTAAAGACGCTAGTTTAGCTAATAGGACATTTAGGTAAGGTACTTTAGGTAATAGTCTTGTTTTATTTGACGATATACCAGGGAGTGTGAGGGCATTGGAATACATTACTGATTATATCGTTAATGACTGTACGAGCTTTGGATACAATTACTCATTAACCTAAGGTCTGAAGAAAAAAAAAAGGGGGGGGGGGCAGGTGGCTGGGCTTCGTTAACTTCACAATAAATCTCTAGGATGCTTCAGTTTGTAAATTATTTACACAACCATTTTTTTCTATAGGATTATTAACCTTATACCATATATAATGTCGTTTTAAACTAAATTTTATTTATTGGCTAATTTTACTGATTATAGTTTCAGGCCAAAAAAAGTAATAATCTTTTTACCTGGATGGCTAATCTGTAATCCATCATTCAATAACTTGACACCCCTGACAAACTCTAACGGTCGGTTATCGCCAGAAACATTGAAACTCATGACATGCATGCCATCCTGACCTGTCATTGTAAGGAGAAGGGAGTTAATTGTTAGTGCCTCCCATCCCTAGGGATGCGAGAGTAAAGGCCCTTGCAGTACTTTAGATACGACATTGCAGGCGTATGCCTCCCATCCCTAGAGATGCGAGAGTAAAGGCCCTTGCAGTACTTTAGATACGACATTGCAGGCGTATGCCTCCCATCCCTAGGGATGCGAGAGTAAAGGCCCTTGCAGTACTTTAGATACGACATTGCAGGCGTATGCCTCCCATCCCTAGGGATGCGAGAGTAAAGGCCTTTGCAGTACTTTAGATACGACATTGCAGGCGTATGCCTCCCATCCCTAGGGATGCGAGAGTAAAGGCCCTTGCAGTACTTTAGATACGACATTGCAGGCGTATGCCTCCCATCCCTAGAGATGCGAGAGTGAAGGCCCTTGCAGTACTTTAGATACGACATTGCAGGCGTATGCCTCCCATCCCTAGGGATGCGAGAGTGAAGGCCCTTGCAGTACTTAAGATACGACATTGCAGGCGTATGCCTCCCATCCCTAGGGATGCGAGAGTGAAGGCCCTTGCAGTACTTTAGATACGACATTGCAGGCGTATGCCTCCCATCCCTAGAGATGCGAGAGTAAAGGCCCTTGCAGTACTTTAGATACGACATTGCAGGAGTATGCCTCCCATCCCTAGGGATGCGAGAGTAAAGGCCCTTGCAGTACTTTAGATACGACATTGCAGGAGTATACCTCCCATCCCTAGGGATGCGAGAGTAAAGGCCCTTGCAGTACTTAAGATACGACATTGCAGGCGTATGCCTCCCATCCCTAGGGATGCGAGAGTAAAGGCCCTTGCAGTACTTTAGATACGACATTGCAGGCGTATGCCTCCCATCCCTAGGGATGCGAGAGTAAAGGCCCTTGCAGTACTTAAGATACGACATTGCAGGCGTATGCCTCCCATCCCTAGGGATGCGAGAGTAAAGGCCCTTGCAGTACTTTAGATACGACATTGCAGGCGTATGCCTCCCATCCCTAGGGATGCGAGAGTAAAGGCCCTTGCAGTACTTTAGATACGACATTGCAGGCGTATGCCTCCCATCCCTAGGGATGCGAGAGTAAAGGCCCTTGCAGTACTTAAGATACGACATTGCAGGCGTATGCCTCCCATACCTAGAGATGCGAGAGTAAAGGCCCTTGCAGTACTTTAGATACGACATTGCAGGCGTAAAGATAACTCTTGGAAAAGAAGTTCAAAAGGTTACATTAAATAAATGGATACTGGTCCCTGGGTCTTAACACTACTATAGATATGAGATGGTAGGCTCTATACATTATTCACCAAAGATATTGTATCTCGTGTACATATTTCTCTTCTGGTGTGGCTGCTTCCTATTCACAACCGGCCCTCCCCCTAATTCACATGTGCTGAGAGAAAATTTAAAAAAAAATACTTTAGAGCTGCAAGCGTCATGCGTGACGGTTCAACTCAGGTGAGAAGGTTGAATTTGTCTTTTTGAGGAGACAATTATATTAATCAATAAAGAGCCACGGGTATGGTGGAGGACTGTTTTAGGACTGTCTGTAGGACCATGTTTAGGATGGTCTGTAGGACTGTCTGTGGGCCTATTGTTTAAAGGCCGGCAGGTAGGGTGTAGGACTATCTGTAAAACTGTTGTTTAAATGCCAGCAGGTAGGGTGTAGGACCGTCTGTAGGCGTATTGTTTAAAGGCCAGCTTAACTATAGAAAATGATAATATAACTTTTTTTTTTTTTTTACACTTGGACCCACCGGGTATTTTCTCAAAATACCCCGGTCTCGGTGTAAAAAACAACAACAAAAAAACACGGTTAAGCCCTAGTATATATATATATATATATATATAAATTGCTCGGATTTGAACAAGTCTCTAGAAATATTAAATGCATTAAGATGTGTTAGGATTTGACTGAGGCGTGTTCATTGTTCAAAGTACTCGATTACCTCAAAGTACTCGATTACCTAACCAAATGTCTAAGACTGAACGTCACATGTAAAACGTAAACCAAAGGGAATATTTCATTTCTTTGAATCAATAAAAAAGCATCTTATCTTATCTTATCTTATAATCTTATGTCAACTCAGTTCGAGACATCGATAAGTATGTCTGTTATGGATTACAAAAAAAATTATGTCAGGTTCCTTACCGCCCTTTGTCGGCTCTAAAATTTGCGTATACGGCAACATAGATTTATGTGCTACAGGTAGACCCTTGATGTTATCCATTGGTATCTCTGTGCTTTGGGCTACATGAGAAAGAAAAAAAAATTGGTAACATTTATATTTCAATGAGTATTTGAAATGTATAATATATATGTGTGAGTGTGTGTGTGTGTGTGGGGGGGTGTATGTGTGTGTCTGTTTTAAAAGCATGATTTGTATTATTGTGATTTTATTTCATTGTAATGCAATTAAATGTGCACTCTTTTAGTTTCTTAACTCCTTTCTTTATGTTAAGTTAGTTATAGAGTCCAAACAATGGTTTCCTTTGTGTAAACATACGCTGACCCATGGTAAGCACAATGCACTCGATCACAACTAGAAACCCGGTTTTTTTTTTTTTTTTTTTTTCCGATGAAAGAATCATTCGGTGGTTCTTGGATAAATGAAGTTTCTTCAACCCCCCACCCCCTTTTTTTTTATTTTTTTTTTTTTTTTTTTTTTTTTTTTTTTTTTTTTTTTTTTTTTTTTTTTTTTTTTTTTTTTTTTTTTTTTTTTCCGATGAAAGAATCATTCGGTGGTTCTTGGATAAATGAAGTTTCTTCAACCCCCCACCCCCTTTTTTTTTATAGGACACATTCTTCCAGACACATCTCCGACTTACGACACATCTCCAAGTTTCAGACACATCTCCGACTTGCGACACATCTCCAACTTGCGACACATCTCCGACTTTCAGACACATCTCCAAATTGCAACATATCTCCGAATTTCAAACACATCTCCGATTTACGACACATCTCCGACTTTCAGACACATCTCCGACTTGCGACACATCTCCGACTTTCAAAAATATCTCCGACTTTTAGTCCGACTTGCGACACATCTCCGACTTGCGACACATCTCCGACTTGCGACACAACTCCAAATTTCAGACACATCTCCAACTTTCAGACACATCTCCAACACACGATAAATCTTCCTTAACTCACACCACACATTTTTCAACCGAAGACCACCCCCACCCCCACTTGCACACACACTACTTGTTCTCTAACGATAAACGTCACAACTTTTTCATCCGAAGACGCCCTTGCATCAAACTTGCTAGTGATAAACGTCACAGCTTTTTCAACCGGAGACGCCCTTGCATCAAACTTGCTAGTGATAAACGTCACAGCTTTTTCAACCGGAGACGCCCTTGCATCAAACTTGCAAGTGATAAACGTCACAGCTTTTTCAACCGGAGACGCCCTTGCATCAAACTTGCAAGTGATAAACGTCACAGCTTTTTCAACCGGAGACGCCCTTGCATCAAACTTGCTATTGATAAACATCATAACTTTTTCATCCGAAGACGCCCTTGCATCAAACTTGCTAGTGATAAACGTCACAACTTTTTAAACCGAAGGCGCCCCTGCATCACACTTGCTAGTGACACACGTCACAACTTTTTCAACCGAAGACGCCCCTGCATCACACTTGCGCTCTAGTGATAAACGTCGCCACTGTTACCCGTAATCGCGTCTTGGACGTCCATGATCTGTGCACAGAAGAGACCAACATAACATATTAATGATTGAATTTAACGTATCAAGAAATCTTTAAAGTATACCTTTTAAATGACATAATAATATAACTTAGAATATAGATGTGAGCCAGTGGCGTAGGACGACCCCGGGGGGGGGGTGGTCCGGAGCGGGGGGTCTGCCCAGGAGGCAGGGCGGTAGTTTCGGCTCATTGTAGAGTTGACTTATTCCCCGTGGAAACGAAAAACAAAAAAAAAAAAAGGGGGGGGGGGGTAAAAAGCTTCGCCCACTCCAGGACGACTTCAACCCGATGTACGCAATGTAAAGATATTTATAAATGCGATATCAGTCATTGTCGTAGTGAGGAGGAGTGGGCGAGGTAAGTGGTCTGGCCCAGTCTGCATTGCTTTCATTACATTGAGGGGAGGAATTATCGATATATTGTTTTATCGTCGAAGATGGCGGATAGAGATATCAGTTGAGATATAAGTAGAGATGTCAGTAGAGATATCAGTACATATATCAGTAGAGATATCAGTCGATATATCATTAGATATATTAGTAGAGATGTCAGCAGATATATCAGTAGAGATATCAGTAGAGAGATAGTAGAGAAATTGGTAGAGATATCAGTAGAGATATCAGTAGAGATATCAGTAGAGATATCAGTGGAGAGAGATATCAGTAGAGATATCAGTAGAGATATCAGTAGAGATATCAGTAGAGATGTCAGTGGAGATATCAGTAGATATATCAGTACATATATCAGCAGTGATGTCAGTAGAGATATCTTTAGAGATATCAGTGGAGATATATGTAGATATCAGTAGAGATCTTAGTACATATATCAGCATAGAGGTCAGTAGACATAACAGTAGAGATATCAGTAGAGATTTCACTAGAGATATTAATAGAGATATCAGAAGAGATATCAGTAGAGATAACAGTACAGATTTCAGTAGAGATATCAGTAAAGAGAGATAACAGTAGAGATATTAGTAGATGTATCAGTAGAGAGCGATAACAGTAGAGATATTAATAGAGATATCAGTAGCGACATCAGTAGAGATATCAGTAGAGAGAGATAACAGTAGAGATATTAGTAGAGATATCATTAGAGATGTCAGTAGAGATATCAGCAGAGATCTCAGTACAAATTTCACTATAGATATCAGTAGAGATATTAGTAGTAGTAGAGATATCAGTAGAGATATCAGTAGAGATATCAGTAGAGATATCAGTAGAGATATCAGTAGAGATATCAGTAGAGATATCAGTAGAGATATCAGTAGAGATATCAGTAGAGATATCAGTAGAGATATCAGTAGAGATATCAGTAGAGATATCAGTAGAGATATCAGTAGAGATATCAGTAGAGATATCAGTAGAGATATCAGTAGAGATATCAGTAGAGATATCAGTAGAGATATCAGTAGAGATAAATATATCCATTTAAAGTCAACGGTCTCTACAAAACCACCAATGACATGCCAAGTCCTAATCTCCAATGTTATAAATGAAGACAAAAAGTGACCACGAGAAATCATTCCATCACCTTGTCGAGCATCTCCTCAACATCTGTTTGCCCAAGGGGACAGCACTTCTTGTCTCCATCTGGACCCTCGGTCTGGTCATCTTTGAGCACGTCTAATGTCTTGCCATGAACTTGGCTGACGTTACCCAGCAGAGACTTGCAGTCGATACAGTTGACGTGGTCATCTCTTGTAGGCTGCAATGTAATGAAAAGGTTAGTGATCTGTCAGTGAGTGGTCGGTTTGTGGTCAGTTGGTGTTCATCGGATTGTCAAAGACAGTCACTGTTTTCATTCTGTCTCAAATGTGACATGCAACGATTACTTTGCAAGGTACACTTAAAGCTTTACACTTTACACATTACAATCTCAATTCTCACAAAAAAATTAATGGTTTATTATTTTTTATAATTTAAAAAAAAAATATTTTTAAAAAAATATATTTTAAAAAAATAAAATTACCAGCTATTTAAACTTGATGTATTCTGGTCACTTATAAGTCAAGACTTTTCAATTACAACTAAAAAAGCAAGTCGTATTACACCAACATCTCTCTCCTGCTTTAATTGGGTGTTTATTTGTATCTTGTAATTATTTTCGAATAAGTATTCGATTAAATAATATAAGGTTCCAGGTTGATATCATCAGCTAAGCCGTGTGTTCGTGTGTTATGAAAGTAACAAAACCCCGCATTAAACCAGAGCATGCTATTAAGCTTAGATAGAAGGTAATGCGCGTCAAATAAGGCCGTAAAGCAGGGAGGGCGGTGTGGCATAAAGGGACTTATACCTGAACCTTCAATTATTTTTTTTATTTTTTTTGTGTTAAGGGTTCTCCCCAGAAGTACTACAATATTGGGGTAGTTCCTCTTCAGAGTGTGTCCTTGCGAGTCTCTTGGCCTTGCAGGTCTTTCATCTGTTCTACCCCGGCCCTTGCCATACACAAAGCGATTCACAACCCCCGCCACCCCCACTCCCACCCCTTTGCCTTGTTTGGTAACCCGGTGGAATAAGAACAGATGCTACACATTGATCTGAACCAAAAGGCCTTAAACTCTCACTTCTTTTATCGGCACATTTTAAAGAACATAACATTCAATAAATTCGCATCAATAACAAACGAAAGAGACGGGGGTGAGGTGGAATGGGGGCTATCAGTAAGCATACATAATGGTATTGGGCTCTTTTTTCTTTTAACGTTTACCGTATAGTTTAACGTTAGTCGAATCTCTTCATTATTTTTCTATGTTAATTAATCACAACGACAACGAAGAGCGGTTCTTTACTAGTTATATATATAACTAGTATAACTAATATATATATAAGGCGTCCACATGCGTAGCAGCCTTGACTTGAAATGTATTTTCTTTCAAGTGACGGGGGGCTGCTCGATTCGTCAGCCTCACTCTCTCGTCCTTGCCTGTTTGGTCCAAGGCGACTGGAAGATAGACCAGGATGCAGTAGATGACCGGCAGTGTATCTTGTGTCTCATTGTGCTCTTTATGTGTTCTACTTCTTAGGCATTGTCGGAGTGTTCATTGCGTTATCCCACCTACGGGAGCCCCGCCTGCGGGTTTGTTTCAGAGTTTATTCTTCACTTAGATGAGATGCCTTCTTTTAAATGAGTCACCATCCAAAGTTGATCATTGCCATCCCCCAGGGGTGCTCGTGTTGTTCATTTGGTGCTTTTCTGTGCTTTACTGGAGAGTTAACTCCACACCACAAGCTTGTGATCTGCTCATTTTAGACCGATCGGCCACCCAGCACCCTTAAAACTAGTTAACCCTACCCTCCCCCTTTTCCCTTTCCAATGAGCCAACAGTAAAACACATTGTTCGTTAATAAGCAACAAAAATATTTATTTATTTTTTTAAAGAAAAGAAGGCAAGTGTCGCAAAGCAACTTTCTTGTCGTAAATTCATTTTTCCTGTTCGCCGAAGAAGGCTCTAGGCCGATACGTTCACATCTTCTTGTCCTGTCTTCTGATTCAAGATTCCACGTCCACATACCAAGTTCTACTATTTCAACATACCAAGTTATACTATTTCAACATACCAAGTTCTACTATTTCAACATACCTTTTTCTACTATTTCAACATACCAAGTTCTACTATTTCAACATACCTTGTTCTACTATTTCAACATACCTTGTTCTACTATTTCAACATACCTTGTTCTACTATTTCAACATACCTTGTTCTACTATTTCAACATACCAAGTTCTACTATTTCAACATACCAAGTTCTACTATTTCAACATACCGTGTTCGACTATTTCATTTATACAAACAAGCCGCATGAAAGCAAATAAATTTACAAAAAATTCGCACCAGGGTTTTATCTGAGACGTCTCCATGGGATTTCACAGTCACGAAAATCAGAATGGCCACACTGAAGACAGCAACCAAGATGGCAAAAACTAAAGTTACCGTTGAGGACCTGGAAAGAACAAGGTTAAAATTAACGTTTCCTAGACCGTGTCTAGGATTAATATAGACACATAAGACTTGGTTGAAGTCTCAAAAATAATAATTAATAATAAGCTGACATCCTTATAGTTTTCTTGTGTTATAATATTCCTTGTTAATATTTTTTTTTCCAATTGGTTGTCATTTGCATTGCATAATGGAGATGTGCAGGATTTTTTTAAACATCACCATTATTGTGTATGCTTAAGAAATAAATGCCCTCCTTCGGTATAAAATATATGTTCTTTCTAACGTTATGTTGATAATTTATAGTGAAGCATGGCAGGAATATAACAGCCCCGACTTCTTAAATACATGGTGTTGCACGTGTATATACAATGGAAATCTCATGGTGCCACTTCTTCTTTCCTATCACTAAATCAATAACGGCTCGTTTTTTGTGACAGGGTATGACAGGTGCCAAGTCAATTCGTGTGCAATGTCACTGGTGAGCAACGTATGTACAACACAAACGTAAACAGACAAAGAGCAACCACTCTACAACTTTTCACGGCTTTTTTTCTTTGTCGGCGGATTTTTCCCTTGGTCTGCTCTGTTCTTTTTAGCCATTGGTGTAGACTCCTGAAATGGTCATGAAAATAATCATCTGTCATTTTTAAAAAGAAAAAAAATAAATACATGCTTTGCACGGTAGGCAATGAAATGACTTTGTATGCACCAACTGACTCAAGCTACACGAAGTAATGTTCTCAATATTTTGTATTTTTGTTGTCGGTTGTTGTTGGTTGTTGTTGGTTCTTGTTGTTGCTTTTTTTGATGTTGTTGTTTGTTTTTTTTTGTTGATTTGTTGTTGCTGCGAGTTGCTTTTGTGTTTTTTTTGTTGGTGTTGTTGTTTCTTGTCTTTTTGGTTTTTTGGTTTTTGTTGTTGGTTTTGTTGGGGGGGGGGGGGTTGGGGTGGTTTATTGGTCGATATAAATCACACCTTTGACCTACAGACAGGTGGTACCTGCGAAGTTTGGTCCTTGGCCCCTAATATTTTTTTTTTTTTTGTTTTTTTGTTTTTTTTTTTTGTTTTTTTGGGGGGGGGGGGGTTTGGGGTGGTTTATTGGTCGATATAAATCACACCTTTGACCTACAGACAGGTGGTACCTGCGAAGTTTGGTCCTTGGCCCCTAATATCAAAAACTGTCATTTAAACAAATGGTGAAATGTAGAGGGAGAAAAGAGGATACAAAAAAAATTAAATCTGAATGACTTCAGAGGACGTTGAAGTGAAGATATTTTTGGTGTAAGTATTTTTAGTCAGCCTTTATTCAGAACGGTGCGCTTGGTTTGTTTGTTTTTTTTCCTCCCGTTTTTTTGTTGTTGTTTTTTGGTTTATTTAAGTGGACGTAATTTTTTTTTTTAAAGAACTTTATTTTATGTTCGCAGAACAGTTTTCTTTCAACAAATATTTGAAATAACTTGTTCAACAAAAGTTTAGCGGTTTCATGCAATAATATTCTTTAAATGTACAAAAGTAGATCTCGTAACAATTTATAAGAAGTTCATTGCGTGGTGTCTGTGTGTGTGTGAATGTGGGGTGGGGGGATTAGAATATCAGATTAGAATTATCACATAGTTCAGGGGGGCATGCATAAATGGTGCATAGGCGTAACTAGGGAACAGCCTTCCTGGGTGGGGTTCTTTTATTAATAATTATTGACGAGAAACCGGAAGACGAAGCCCTCTAAAACAGACAACGAATGGCTGCTATTTATAACATCCCTTGCTATGTTTTATTTCTATTTAAAACAAAAACAAGAACAAAAAAAAAAAGATTTGAGAGCACGTAATTGTATTTCGTTTCTATAAATGCTTATCTGACATTATCTTTATGTCAAGAAAACGTAGGCCATGCCAGGTAAGTGTTTTATGACCTCAACGGCAAACACTGCAGCCAAGCCCTATAAATTATAGATATAGATATAGATAGAGTGTATCCTTATTCGGGGATCAGTTCTTCCCTCTGTAATTCTGAGAGCGACGCATTTGATATAAGGTTTGCCGTGTTGATTGTTTGGTAAACACGGTAAGTATTTACTTATTTGGCCATGCCTAGCGTAGTGCACATTTTCTTCCGATATATATCTATTCTCATTCCAAAATGTTAAATAATTCATTTCAAATAAATTCTTTCATCTCGTTCCTTCCCAGTTATCTATTGGAAATTATCAATAGCATTCAAAAATAATATTTTATATTGAAGATTGTAGATGTGGGCAATGTCTGTTCTTTTTCAATCAATTTTCATATGTGAGGCATTTTATATAACTATGTTTAGATGTTACTCTCTTATTTAATTTATTGTATTTTATATGATTATATATAGATGTAACAATCTTATTTAAATTTTAGTATTTTTTATTATTATTCCTGAATATAAAGCTATGTTTTTAATTTAAACTCATTGTGTATATCATTATGTATGTCATAATAAATCATTAAAGTCTCTTCCTTAATGTGTTTCATATGTGGAAATAAAATTACTCGCTGTTAATTAATTATAGTTAAATAAATGAATTTGAAAATGTATGTTTATTTTGTTATACTTGGCTTTGTTTGCTGTTGCTGTTAATGTTGTTGTTCAATTACTTTCAGATAATTTTCTTAACTGAAGGAGCTTTCACTAAATGAGACTCAAGTGAATAAACTATTCACATTTAATCAAATACTTAATCAGTACAGTTGAGATGTGGAGAAGGTAGGGGCAAGAGAGTGGAGAGAAGGGGGGAAAAAAGAAGAGGGGGGTGGGGCGCAGGATTACTGCTGATTCTAACAGATGGATGGGAGTTAAGATGGTTGGGACGATGGCGGCGTGGTGATTTTTATGATGAGGATTAGTGGAACAGGATGGGGTCAATGGCGTGGAAACGGAAACGGGTGGGGGCAAAATGTTCGCCACCCAACTTCTTTAAGAATTATATCTGAAGTTTGCCCAAAACCCCTTCTCTCCATAAAACATTTTTTAAAACAACAGTTGCTTGGGGTGCACCGCCCTTTTTCGAAACATCATTCCTAGATCATTCCTAGATCATTCCTAGATCATTCCTAGATCATTCCTAGATCATTCCTGGATCATTCCTGGATCATTCCTAGATCATCCCTTGCCGGGGTTGATGGGGAGAATGTGTGGTTAAGGGTGTGTTTGGTTGAGGATAGCGCAACTTCTAATCCTGTGTGGTTTGCGGGACTTCTACGACCTGTGAACGCGCAGCCTTTTATAAATCTGAGTAGCACGTATCTGTTCCCTTGACTTCAGCTTAGCTATCACTTTTGCCGTGTGCGTACATGTTTACTAGCAATGTCACATTAGCTAAGCTAGGCCTGCACAACATACGGCCCGCGGGCCGCATACGGCCCGCCAGCACCAACTTTGCGGCCCATGGCGTATTTCAACGAAATTTTCTTTAGTCTTATTATTTTCTTAATAGCTTCCCCACCTTTTTTTTCCGGTCCTATTTTCTTTTGGTCCGGAAAAGACCTTTCCTATTTTAGTTTGTTCCGCACAAGTTTTTTTCATAAAGTATTACGGCCCGCCTTACATTCTGAGTTGTACAGGCCAGATATCACCACGCTGAAAATATCTTGTACAATTACTTCAAGAACCCCGTTGGTCAGAATATCGTGTACGTCAGGCTTGTTAATCCCCCCCCCCCCACACACACATCCCCGAGCGAAACTTGCGACGAGCGTGCCGGTGTTTTTTTGGATAAAAATATTGTACACCGTAGACCAGTGTTCCCCCAATGGCGGTCCGTGGACCTTCACCGGTCCGCATGCCTAACGCTGCCGGTCCCCATAACATAAATATTCATTGTCAAATAGATAAAGTATAAAAATAAATCATGCACCGGTCCCTGGTAAAATTTCGAAACGTGTTCACCGGTCCGCCAAACTTAAAAGTTTGGGAACCACTGCCGTAGACCACACAAGATGTGGGTGAACGTGAGGATTTCGCACATCCCGGATTTATCTCTCATGCCGGGATCCAGGAGTTAATTCTTTATACATTGTAATATCAGCCGAATTTAACTAGGATAGAATGAGCGTTTTATAATTGTTTACTTTTTTATAGTGTTTTAATGAAGGGGAACAATTGAGTTAACTTTAGCTGAGAGGTTGGTCTATTGTTTCTAGGCGCTTCATTTTTCCCCCTTGCTAATCCCTGGTTATAGGCAACTAGCTATCGTTGTGCTTGTCAGGCTAAAGCTGGAAAAGACACCCTACAGGGGAAAACATTTTTTTTTTAAATTACACTTTATTAGAAACGTGCATTTTTTACAGACCTCAAATTCTAGATTCCAATCTGTCACGAAATATTTACAGAAAAGTGTTTCTTGCAAGGGGTTCGTTATGAGGGAATTAAAATTGTTAAGGGGGCGTCCATTAATTACGGCAGAAATTTTAAAACAATTTTTTTCTCCGCCCCCCCCCCCCAATGAATTATAATAGAAATAAATATATAATTACATTTTACTTTTTGCTGATCTATTTTAATATCACAAAATTGAAGGAAAACCTTTTCATTGATCCTTTATCTTGTTAATAAATTTTAAAACAATTTTTTTCCCCCCCCCCCCCCCCCCAATGAATTATAATAGAAATAAATATATAATTACATTTTACTTTGTGCTGATCTATTTTAATAGCACAAAATTGAAGGAAAACCTTTTCATTGCATCTTTATCTTGTTAATAAACAAGTTAAAATTAAATATAACTTAAAAATTATATAACTATTTAAATTTACATTAATTTAAATTTGTTAAAATAATGTAATAACAAGTCAATTTTAAGATACAAATTTTTATAGAGAAATCATGAGTGTTGACGTCAACTAATCTAACCCCCCTCCCCCTTGTAAGCAATTGTCAAACATTTCCAAACCCCCCTCTCCCCCTTATTTTGGTTGACACAATTAATGGACGACCCCTAATAAATTAGGTTGATATGTAACATTAGGGAAGTAAAAACATAAAATGTAAAGATAGTTTGACCTCTGAACGTGATATAATCAAGTTACCAGAGTACGGTTTACAAGTTATAAATGATGTGACATTAATTTTTTTTAAATGGATTTCTTTGAAATTTCTTAGAGGCCGCCGGTGTAAACAATAAACTAATAGAACTATTGATTTGTAAATAGAGATGCGCTCTTCCCTCTCATTATTCTTTTTTTAATACCTTTTTTTTAAATTTTTATATCTTAAAGTTTGAATTTTAAATTTCTATCATTGCATTAAATATGTTATTAATTAAAATTTTATTATATTGTACTGAAAAATCTAGATTTGATGTTTTCAATAAATGGAATGTACCCCATTTAAAAGCCCATTTTTTAATGTATTGCGGTATTTTTTAACTTTTCTTCTATATAAATGTGGTCATGACATGAAAATGCTTGAGAACCTGTGAACTCCCACTATTGAGATTGATAATTAAGCGTCATTGGTTAAATTTTACAATTACAAGTCCTGTCCTACACTTAGGGTTTATGGCAACAGTGTGTTTACAATCTATGACGTGCTAAAATATACAAACAAGAAAATAGATATACTAAAAGTTTATACCCGATAATTCCCCGGGATTTTTTTCTTCTTTACCTAAAAACATATTGTTTCCCGGGATCCCGCTTGAGAACCCCTAGTAAAATGGCTTAATGACGAAAAGGGTATTTCCCCAAACAGTTAACGTTTCTATGACAACTAAGTTTAGAAATGGGTTTTCCCGTTCTTACGTTTCTTAGTTTTCTCTTCGGTATATAAGATTAAATTCAAACCAACTCATTTGTGTGAAGAAATTTTGGTTAATAAAGACAAGATTAAGAGTTTATGTTTCATTATATATAATTTAAATTGAATCAGCAAAAATAAAATTAAAATTCACTCTATGAAAGGATTTTATTCATTTATGAATTATATATATTATATATTCAAAATAAACTATGTTTTTTCTCAAATGTTTTTTCTCCCCCCCCCCCCTTTTTTACACTCTCTGTCCTTCCCCATCTCGACAAAGCAACATATCTCCCCGTTAGGTTATCTAAAACAAGACAATGTAGACGAGCACTTTGGTGGCTTGAAATCAGAAAAAATAAAATTAAAATTCACTCTATGAAAGGATTTTATTCATTTATGAATTATATATATTATATATTCAAAATAAACTATTTTTTTTCTCAAATGTTTTTTCCCCCCCCCCCCCCCTTTTTTACACTCTCTGTCCTTCCCCATCTCGACAAAGCAACATATCTCCCCGTTAGGTTATCTAAAACAAGACAATGTAGACGAGCACTTTGGTGGCTTGCTGTTCAAATAGGCCTATATGCTGGCCTCGAAGTCGAAGGGGTCCTGATACCGAACATGGTTTGTGTTAGTAGGTCACCAGTAGACATGTATGATATAACATACTCATGTAATAAATCAATAGACCTTTAAAAAAATAATAAAACAAAAACAAAAAAAACAAGCTCTCGACTATTTTAGCAGTTATATTCTCCCCCCCCCCCACAGACAACAAATTAAAATTTGGGAATGGCGTCCCGGAAGGTATGTATATCAATGATTGTCAAATGTGAACGTTATCGACCGAGGCGTTTCTAATCGATCCGAATTGAGGTCACTCAAGATATAAATCTATTTGTTAAGATAATCTATTTTTGTTAATCCAAGTAATATCGGGCCGTGATTGAAAAAGCCATACCTGTTACAAAGGGTAACCAATCTGGGTCGCCAATGAACCGAAACGATTTAAATACGTTCGGATTCTTAAAAACAATCATAATTATTTTCTATTATTTTACGAAACTTGAATAAAATGTACAAAAAAGAACAAAAATACGCTTATATTTTAGTAAATGTTTAAGTAGTATTTTTATAAATAACAAATAATTTAAAATAACGATAAAGAAACTATTTTACGCATTTTATCCGAGTTTGAAGTTTATGTAAAATAAATTTAATTTAAAAAAGTATGATCTAAGAATTACATCGTATCACATTTATAGGGAAAACCCAAACATCAGTCCTTTTTAGTGTGGTTTTTAGTGCAGCGGTTCTCAACCTTCCTAATGCCACGATCCTTTAATACAGTTCCTCATGTTGTGGCGACCCCCATACACAAAATTAATTTCGTTGCTACGTCATAAATGTAGAGTATATGTGTTTTCCGGTCGTCTTTGGCGACCCTTGGGAAAGGATCATTCGACCCCCAAAGGGGTCACGACCCACAGGTTGAGAACCGCTGTTTTAGTGCGTTGTTAATATTGCGAAATGAAATTAAAATTAATTTGCTCTAAATAAACACACAAACGAAGTCATAGCGCGAATGGCCTATTTTAGCCAAACTGTAAGTTTCTTTGAACCGAAAAAACTGATAATGCATTGTCCACATATAATTGATTGCTTTTTAAATTGTTAATTAAACACACAAAAATCTATGACATGCATTCATTACCGATGATTGCAGTAATTTAATTTTTATGAGTTTGAGGACATATTTATGTATCCGTGGGTATTTATTAATTTAATGACAGAGTATCTTGAGCGAGCTGTAGTCTGGAGCGAGTTTAAGTTTATGCAGAATATTTGATGACAGAGAGGAACGTGTGTCTCTTTTAGCGAGTTGTACATTTTCAAAACATAAATAAATACATATTTTATTAAAGTTGTTGGTGTTCGTCCTTCGCATGCTTTATCCAACATCGCGTAGAGACATCAAAATAACCGCGTCTAGACACATTTCGTACGTGCCCATTTGAATACACTTTGGCCAGCACTGGGAAGTGTCCATTGGTTCATAGGGTCCACTTAAAGACATTAACAAACTGATCGCGTCAAGCGACATTCATTGTTAAAGCCTATTTTATCACATTTGGTCCCACGATGTGACATTTTCTTGTGTAACATTTTTGTTGTATTTATCGCCGTCAAGAATTCAAATGTGTAGCGTCTAGACATCGCCGACCCACGGTAGGACATTTTGTTGGTGTTTATTTTTTAGTATATTTTTTTTCATTTTACTAAACGAATTTGAAAAAAATATTGTGTCGATAAATATTTTAATTTTTGCTTCCTTAAAATTTCAGCGTAATAATTCAGGGAAAAGGGATGACCATTAAAATTATTGCATGTAACTAACCATTCATTATTTGTTAGAGGCACTGCTTGCACCCTACTTCCACACACACACCATTCACGCGCACGCACACACACACATTCCAGAAACACTCTCTAACCAAAGTCAAGTTCTAATTCATAAATTTTAAACCGAAGAACAGTGATGCATTTTGTAATTTTTACCAACCACTTTTTAAATCCTATCAATATTTGACGATTTATAACAACAAACCAATAAACCAGTTAGCTCACTGTAGTGCCTCATTATTGTGTCGGTTCAAATCTCTCATACTTTACTTTCTCTGTTGTGGCTTACTTTTACTTTCTCTGTTGTGGCTTTCTTTCACTGTCTCTGTTGTGGCTTACTTTTAATTCTCAGCATGGTGGCTATTATCGGCATGAGAATGACTTGAAGTACAACACGGATCTGTGGGTCATAAAATATAAAAATTACAACAGTGATCCTCATACCCTTAACTGTGCACCATATACATCACGCTTCTTACATCAACTTGGACCTAGCATGAGGCTGTTGGGACCCGGGTCCGAATAGTGGCAATGCGTGTCCGGGTCCATTTTGACTAAATGCTATTCGGATGTCATTTGTGATCGTTTATTTTAGTTAAACTGAAGAATTAAGTTTACAAGCATATAGTCCATTCAATTATATTTCATTCGATACCAAATTTTATCTTACAAACCCAATAATAATATTTTAATTTTTTTTTAATCCCAACCTCTCACTTCTGGTAGCCGGGTACGAACAGCCACTTCGTATATTAAAATGGCGAATTGGCGCCAAATAATCCAAGGTTTCTCTTTGCTAAGTTCAAAATAGATGGTACCATGAACCCATATTTATCAATTCACGGTAAAAATATCATAAAAATAATGAAGCATTAACTACTTTTTAAAAAATTCCCCATTAGAACGAATTCATACCGTTTCCTTTTGCGTACAGATGACATCTACATCCGTGGTTTACATTCAAACGCGACGACCCTCTTTTTTCAGAATCTAAAACCTGTAAGATACCCATTCCGAGACCTGGCAATTAAAAATACATCATTTAAATTTCTTTTTGTCATGGACATCTCAAATAGGCATAGAAGCAGACGTCCATACATCTCAACTGGGCATAGAATCTCAATGGGCATAGAAGCAGACGTTACAGTCATTGATCGTTGCAAAATTTCCACAACGAAATTGGGGTCAGTCAAACAAATTACGAATTCTTGGGTCCAAATGTACCGAGTGAAGTTTTTCTCATATAAAATTGAATAAAGTATAAGTGCAAATATTACACAGAAGAAAAAGAAATGCGAAACCATCTAAATCAGTTCCTACAAGAATAAACACACTAAATATATATTACACCTTTATTGGTGCATTTATCAATTTATTTTTATCCCAAAAAGTTTCATCACTCACACTATTCGCAGAAACCATTTCCGAGATGAAGCAACAGATTTATAATTACAAAATAAATTGAATAGTTGGATATAATCTAAGAGCCACAACAAGCTGCCATTTTCGAACCGGACTTTTGGAAACACACAAAAGTTTATAAAAAATTCTGATTTCATTTGGGTGTTATTGAATGATTCTAGGAAACACACCAAGCTGCATATCGTGTTGATCTCATCAAAACTGTTATATCTTATAATAGCTCTGAGGACGGTCTTACAAATACAACTGCCCCTATTGGTCACGTCTGGTAAGCCGTAATGATAAAAAAACTTGTCTCATTTTTCCTCCAAGATCGAACGAGTCTTGCGAAACATATTTTACACCTCTGATCTCACGCCCCCCCCCCCCCACCACTCGCGTCTTAAACCTGTCTCGTAAGATGTACGTAATGAGGGACAGACGACGTATTTGATTGACGGCGTCGGGAATGGAGGCGCGATAGACGTCATACACGAGAAGTCTGGCCACGAAAAGATGGCCGCCCCAGACGTCCGTCCGCCTCCATCGTGACGTGGTAAGTGTACAGCCTCCTGCACGTGCCGTCCGGACGGACTACAAACCAGTTGTAGTCACTACAGTTGCCAGATCTATTGCCATGGCCCATGTTATGGGAGGTCCAAGACGTCACGGAACTGTCGGAGAGCTGGACGAGTTTGAAAACATCGGGTTTAAGACGAAGCATATTTTTCAACACGTGGAGCAAAAAATGGGGGGGGGGAGGGATTTTAGCTCTGTCTGAGTACTCTTCAAGCATCAGCTCACCGTTAAATCCAATTGCAGCTCGTCCATTTCTGCCACAGTACCAATGGATACGTGTCCATGATCCAGTGACATCACGCCACCATCCGCTGAAACCACGGTGTTAACAATCAAGGTGGCGGTGATTTCCCGAACGGTTTTGTTAACACTCATTGTAGAATCGACGGCATGCCATGGGTATTATTGCTAACATTTAAAGTAGCATTTATTTCTTTGACGTTGTTTTTAATACTCAATGTGGCATTGAGTTCATGAACATCGCTGTCAACATTCAATGCGGCATTGAGTTCATGAACATCGCTGTCAACATTCAATGCGGCATTGAGTTCATGAACATCGCTGTCAACATTCAATGCGGCATTGAGTTCATGAACACGGCTGTCAACATTCAATGCGGCATTGAGTTCATGAAAACGGCTGTCAACATTCAATGCGGCATTGAGTTCATGAACATCGCTGTCAACATTCAATGCGGCATTGAGTTCATGAACATCGCTGTCAACATTCAATGCGGCACTGAGTTCATGAATATCGCTGTCAACATTCAATGCGGCTCTGAGTTCATGAACATCGCTGTCAACATTCAATGCGGCACTGAGTTCATGAACATCGCTGTCAACATTCAATGCGGCACTGAGTTCATGAACATCGCTGTCAACATTCAATGCGGCACTGAGTTCATGAACATCGCTTTCAACATTCAATGCGGCACTGAGTTCATGAACATCGCTGTCAACATTCAAAATAATATTAACCTCAGAGCTTCTGTTGAACTTAACTCCGTCAATTCTTCCATGCCTGTTTTAACATCGACCTCATCGCCACACCCGTGATCGGTGCTGTTAAAGCACGACGCTTTCCTCAATGTCGGGCCGCTGTCGGCAACATCCATTCTCAAGCCATTCGTTCGTAACTTGACCAAAGCTATTCTCATAACTGACGTCGACTCTTGCCTTAGGTTCTCCACTATCATCGTCAACGACTTGTTGACCCGAACAGTTTCTGTGGAAAGCACGCCCCGCCATTACACGGGAAACTCGCCATTTCATTCCCGTTATTTGTGACCACACTTAATTCATGAACTTTCGATGAATTTAACAGTAAAAATCCATCCGGTTCACAGCTGCTCGATTTCATGAACACAATCAGATGATAATACAATGCTAGCAGTCACGCAATCTTCAACAAGTATCCTAATAGCAATAGTTCCTATCGACTCAATCCAAAATGTCTCCTTTTTTTTTTACCCCGTTGCAAAGGGAGAAGCGTCCCGGGCTCAGCTAGAAAGTAATAGTGCTGTCCTTACTATAGTGAGAATCTGCTGGCAAGGACGGTAGTCATTGTAACGTATGGGAAGAACCAGAGTAGTCAGTCTAATAATATACTCAGTGGTCTTAAGTATAGTGAGTCTAATATACAGCCGGCAATGTTAAGAAGCGAATCTAATACAAACAGCCAGAGACATGTAAAAGATAGTTTGTGATGTGGTGAAATAAATCTATTCACACTGGATCTCAAACGAAATGTCAAATAATAATATTAATAATAATACAGTTTTTTTTTTTTAAAACGCTTCATCCCTAAAGGCTCGAAGCGTGGAACAAAGTCAACCACATTAAAAAGAGAAATAAAAACAATCTAAAATGTACCACATTTAAAAACAGATGCAACATTATAAAACTACATACGAGCATACCAAGTCAAAGTCTTTCATCCCGTTGCAACCATAAGCAACACAAGCCAATATGCATTAACTGGAAAAGATGGTAGATAGCATCACCCCAGAAGGTGTTTGCGAAATAGATGTGTTTTTAAATAATACCGACACATTCTGGTAGTCGGATATCAACCAGCAGTGGGATCAATTTGCATGAGGCCATGTATGCATGAGGCCGTTTATGCACGAGGTCACTTATTATGAGGTCACTTATGCATCCGGTCATGTATACATGAAGTCATTTATACATGAGGTCATTTATACATGAGGCCATTTATAAATGGGGTATTTATAAACGAGGTCATTTATACATGAATTCATTTATACACGAGGTCATTTATGCATGAGGTCATTTATACAGTAGGTCATTTATACATAAGGTCATGAGGTCCCTGGCTGAGATTTGAAACCGAGCCCTTTGTGTCAAACGGATCAATGGTCACTGGTAACCTGACACATGGTAACCACGAGAAGTATGGAAAATGAAGGAACTAAAATACCTATACTTTTAACATCTCGGAATAAAGGTGTGTGTGGGAGGGGGAGGGGGGGGGAGAACCTGGTTCTAATCTGCTGTGGAGGCTGACAAAGAAATCCCCGGCTTTGTCGGATTTTGAATGACTTCAGTTAACAAAATAAATGTTTGAATGGATACGACGCCATTACTCGATGTGTATTTTTTTAAAATATTTTTTTGTTATTAATTGTATTTTAAATCAGTGTTTGAATTGTTACCACAAAGGAGCGAAAGATGTTATCCTTGTTGTCCTAGATGGTCTGTGTAATCCTTGGCATTTGAATCCCATTCCAAGAACTCGGAAATATTACATTTTTCGTTCGGCATACCAGTCTTTTGAATTATAAGAATTAATACTAGAATCGTTCTGGGTAGTTCAAAATTTAATGTCTTTCCCCTTTAAATACGTTTTTTAAACCGTTTATATTAACTTCGCTTTTGTTCGCAGTTTTTCTTTTTCTGCCTGGGTGGCAAATTCTTCGGACGGCTAATCGACCCACTTCCTGTCAACCTATCGAGCTTAAACTTGGCACATAGATTCGTTGAGGATGGCAATATACTTTAACAAATTATCAGCTTCCACCACCCCACCCCCAAAGATTAGGGATTTTTTCTGTTTTTTCCAGTGGAAGGTGAAAGAAATGTGATGACACCAATTTCGTGAAATAAAATTCCCGATTACTGCACTAAATGAGATTCCTTTTTGTTTTTTGTTTTTCAAATATCACTTGGTGCGTAAGATTTTCTTTAGTTTTTCTGAAATAGTTGGTGAAATAAATTTGTGGTGTAAAAACAGGTGGGTCTTTACAATATTAATATAATTCAGGCGCATGAAAAAAAAACAATGTTGTGTTAGCCTTGGGGGGAGGGATGAGCACTTATTGGAATTTGTATAAAGTACATTACATTGAATGCATGTTTTGTCTAATTTTCAGCTACCCCCCCACCCCCACCCCCCCCACCAAAAAAAAAAAAATTGCTCGATATTGCATTTTATAAAGGAATTAAATAATAAGAGCTGTTTAACTTTGTTCTTACTTAAATGAAAGCAGTGTATGAAATTAGCCTCTAGAATTTGATGTAAGTTTTTATTTGAAAAGTTTTAAAAAGTGGGAGTGTTATTTTTTACCTCTACGGAGTAAAACCAATGTTAGATTTCAACTTAATTGATACTAGTTTCTATGTTTCAAAACGTTTATTTGTTATGATCCTGTCATGCTCCAATGCATACTAAAACATGGGTAATTTCGTATTCAAAGCCTCTCATTGATCCATTTTACAAGTTGCGCAATCGTTTTCGCTTCGGGTCGCTTTCAGATCCGCAACGCTGGCTTGGCAGCGTGGTCACAGCGTATGTCATATGTCCATACTAGAGGGATAGAGTTCAAGTCTGACAATTGATGAAGACTTTTCTTTTTATCCTAAAAAATACCCTCCCCTTAGCAAAAATATAATTTAAAATATTAAGTAATTATTTTTTTTCTTTCCCATCCTAGTTTTATGACCTAGCGAAATTTTAAAAAAGCTGCTGGTACAAAAAAAATGGAGTGGAGTATCAGATTTAACTCAGATTAGAAGCAACTGCTCTCCCCCCCCCCCCCACACTTCACCTGTGTAGAACCCCCTTATTTGATAGTAAATATATTAACTTCCAGATTTTAACGTTACCATAAAATTCAAAGACGTTAGTCGGAAATGCCAGATTTCCAGATTAAGTCTGAAAACGTTGAACATTAGAAGTCACAAGAAATATTTTTTTTTAATATGATCTTTTGTTAAACCTGATGATATCTCCAACAGCGATATTGTTTTTTGTTGCAAGTAAGATATAATTGCTAAATATAAGTTTAACTGCATCATATAATAAAAAAAATACTTGTATTAAATATCGGGTAAAAAAAGGACGCGCACAAGTATTCGAAACAAAACGTTCAACAATTAGTCTAGGAAATTTAGTCCGGGATGATCTAAAATATGAACTATAAAATGTGCCGATGTCAGCATGTTGATGGGACTCGTTAACCATGGATTGCAACTCATTTTAGAGAAGGAAACTCTGAATTCAAACCGAGAGATGGAGTCACGTAGGCGGATAACATTGTTACAATGAAATATTCCGACAACTCCTGCGACGCCACTGGTGCCAAGCGTTATCATCCACCTGATGTTCCCTGGGGCCAGAGAGAGGCGATTTGACTTCGGGAACCAGCTTCTAATCCTAGAAGAACCATACCAGGCCTTGTGGATTTCTGCGGAGTCTACACCATCGTCACATTGTGACGGACGGATGACAGCAAAAAAAAAAAAAAAAAAAAAAAAAAAAAAAAAAAAATTTGATGGTGAAAAAAAAAAAAAAAAAAAAAAAAAAAAAAAAAAAAAAAAAAAAAAAAAAATTTAAAAAACACTTTTTAAATCCTTTTTTTTTTTTTTTTTTTGTTGTTGTTTTTTTATTAGCACTACTCTGAGCTGTTAGTGAAAGGGGAAATTAAAACTTAAGAAGAAAACAATTTAAAAAACACTTTGACAATCCGTTTTTTTTTTTTTTTGTTGTTGTTTTTTTATTAGCACTACTCTGAGCTGTTAGTGAAAGGGGAAACAATCTAAGCTATTACGTAATTTAATGACAGAGGTGCTGTCACGTAATGAATAATGAAATCTCGAAACTGACTGGCTGTCAGGGGTGTAGGAAAAGGTCTGCTGAGGGGGAACTCCACACCCAGAGAGGCTCTTTCTTTTCTTTAAATATGTAGTGGTACAGGTTATGTTCAGGCCCGTCAATCTTCACACTGAAGGGCGTCATTTTCAACCTAATTTAGAGTTGTTTTTTTTTTTTTTTCAGGAAGTAGGTGCACCATTAACCCTTGTCTACGCCACTGATTCGCTGAATAGTTTAAGTTGAATATTTCAGGTATTTTGATTATCTGAATGTTGGTTATAGTAGCACAGAAAGAAGTCCATAACGTCAACAATGTGATTGCTTAAGAATACATTTTAGAACTCATCCTGACATTCGCCGATCCTAAATGTCCCTGTGACCGCCTGGTACAACGGCAAAAAAATACCCCTATGCGTGTCCCGGAAGTTCCTGCTGAGGCCGACAGCCATGTCACCGCCTGGCGCAGCGGCAAAAAATCTCCCTGTACGTGTCCCGGAAGTTCCTGCTGAGGCCGACAGCCATGTCACCGCCTGGCGCAGCGGCAAAAAATCTCCCTGTACGTGTCCCGGAAGTTCCTGTTGAGGCCGACGTAGATGATGAAGTTGCAGGAGCTGTTGACGCTGAGGCCTAACTTGCGGATCAGCTCCACCACCATGCTCGTGTTGACCTGGACACAGTCGCAGTACTTGATGTACACCAGAGCCACGAAGTTGAACAGCCCGATGATGGTGTACACGATGCAGACCGTCAGCAGGGTTCTCGTCGTCCGTTTCATGCTGCTGCCGGACGCCGACTTCCCGCCACGGCTTTGGGCGGTACTGGTTCCTTCGAAGGATTTCCTCTCCCGATGACCTGGGGAGTGTTTCGCGGTGATTTTTCTTAGCGGCATTTCGTCAGAATCTGAAGAGTTGCGATTTGACAGTGCTGCCGCGGGCAAGTTTTTTGACGGATGACATGCCGTTCCGTCAGATGCCAAGAGCTTTTCCGGAGAATGTGATGCGTACTCTAAAGGAAAACATACTTCCCCTGATTGTGATTTGTACTCTATTGTACTGTCCGACACCTCTATAGAGTTACGCGATTTTCTTCTCATAACATGAGCAGGTTTTTCCGTTGAATCGTCTAATCCTTGATTTCTACCTAAAATATGTTTTTTAAATCTTGCAATCAAAGACGATAGCTTATTTTCACGCACCTCACAAATGACCTCCTTTACAAAAGTGTTTTTAACATTCATTAAAGTTTTGCGTTTTTTTTCGTGAAACCTAATTTTGAAACCAATCAACAAACAACCGACGAGCGAGAATCCGACCGGGAATGGCCCGTAGATGAATATGTAGGCCTGTCTGAAGATGACGTAGTACTGGGCGTGTTGGCTGATGATCTCCGAGTCCGCAATCATCCCGACGCTCCTGTTGGTCGATGGATCAACCTCGTAAACGAGTCTGAATCTTAGCTGGTACTGGACATAGGCGGACACGCCGAAGACGTACAGCACCCCCACGGTCACCCAAATCCTCAGCGGCGTTAATATCCTCGAGAAATGAAGCGGGAAAAACACGGCGAGCAGACGCTCGAACGTGATGCAGCTCGGCAGTATCAACGACACAACTTTTCCCACGGACTCCATCGCTATTTCGAAATGGTACATCACAAACAAGAACTCGGCAACCCTCTCTGGGTAGAAGAACCCTAAGCTCGGCCCACTGGTGTAAATCTGTAGGGCGATGTTGTTAGTGCCGACCAGGTAGAGCAGGTCCGCCACGGCCAGGGCGAAGATGAGGATGTTGGAGCACTTGTGGAGCCCGTGCTTGAGCAGCACGAGCATGCTCATGACGTTGCCGACGACGCCGAACACCGAGATGGTCGGCAAGAGAATGTATGTCATGACGAACTCGAAGTTCCGTAACATCATCGCCTCGGTGCCGTTGCCGTGTATGGGGAACACGTTGATTTCCGGCCATGTCAAAAAGGGTTCGTGGTCATCTTCGTTTTCCAAATTCATTTTCAGAAGCAGCAAAATATCAAGGTACCAAAAACGACCACCTCCAGGCGTTTTATCGATCACTCTCTTTAACAATGTTTGAATCAAAGTTTCAGTTTGTTGTAAATCACCTCACAAGTGCGCCTTTCAAATAACACAATTTATATCTGAACGTTATTGAAGTTACGTGAGGTTACTTGCCAAACTGTTAGGGTCAATGTTATGCTACACGATTAACAAAATCCTGCTCAAGAAATCTGATTTGAGTTCGAAAGTGCGTGTGCCAGCCCATGATAGCCAAGTGTGAACTACTCCGATAGGGCTTAATATAGGACTGAATTATCAAATGGAAAAGATAAACAATATCGTCGGGCGGTATAACTTGTAGAAGAAGTACACTACTTTGGAACAGTGTGTCGGGTTCTAGAAACCTGTTTCAGTTAACAGTTAAATGTACTGTGTCCTGCCAGCTTTGCAATGTGTCTGACACAATAAAGTGGTCACGCGTCAGGTAACCTGATGAGGTTTAGTGTTCCAGTGTCTCAGGTACTGTTAGGCGTTCAACGTCCCTGGGACGGTTTAGCATTCAAGTGTGTCTGGTACAGGTAGAAATTCAATGTCCCTGGTACGGTTGGTATTCAAGTGTGTCTGATACGAGTTCAGTTCAATGCCCCTGGTATGGTTAGTATTCCAAATGTGCGAGGGACGAATATCAAGTCAATGTGATTTTAACAGGTAGCAGTTCAAAATTCCTGGTACAGTTAGTAGTATGGCTACACTTAGTAGAGACTTTGGTAATGCACGGTAGCAGGCTTCTGTGCTGGTAGCAAATTGCTGTGGGTGGTAGCGAGCGGCTGTGCTGGTAGCTAGTCACATATTCACAACTGTATCCGTATTACAAACGTGCCGTCTAATGACGTGGTCCACTGTAGGGTCTGGTCACCGTTCACGTGGTCAGCCATTACCACGGGTCTACGTGACACAAAATAATTTTCTCCAATTTCAACCAATTTTTAAATATTTCTTTTCTTGTTCTCTTCGGCAAAACTGAATTAACCTGGCAGCTAGCATCGGTCTGGCTGATTCAATAATGTGGAGCTTTTTAAACAAGAGTTGGTTTGGGTTTTTCTTTGTTTTTAACTGGTGCTATTTAATAGTTGGCACGATAATTGTTTGCACAATTTGAATGAATTAAGCCGAGTCACTAATAGAAAAGGGGGCCTTTGGGGAAGTTCATCATGCTGAGTCATGCCCACGATATCCCAGGAGTCTTTGGTTTGGTAATTTTTTTTTTTTTTTTTTTTTTTTGCAAAATGTTTATTTCCTTATTGGTTGGGGGGGGGGGGGGGGGTCATTTTATCTGTTATCAATGCACGAAGTTATTGTTTTGTCAGAAGCGGTTAATGTGTCTGTCTCTATGTCCAGTTCAGTGGTTCTTAGAAGCGTTCAATGTATATGTCTCTATGTCTGTCTCTATGTCCAGTTCAGTGGTTCTTAGAAGCGTTCAATGTATATGTCTCTATGTCTGTCTCTCCGTCCAGTTCAGTGGTTCTTAGAAGCGTTCAATGTGTCTGTCTCTATGTCCAGTTCAGTGGTTCTTAGAAACGTTCAATGTGTCTGTCTCTATGTCCAGTTCAGTGGTTCTTAGAAGCGTTCAATGTGTATGTCTCTATGACTGTCTCTCCGTCCAGTTTAGTGGTTCTTAGAAGCGTTCAATGTGTCTGTCTCTGTGTCCAGTTCAGTGGTTCTTAGAAGCGTTCAATGTGTCTGTCTCTATGTCTGTCTCTGCGTCCTGTTCGGTGGTTCTTACAACGCTTTCCTATCCCTTTCTCGGCATTTATTTTTTATTAAGAGCCTTAAAATATCGCTATTAATTTAGCTATGAATTGTTCAAGTGTCCAAAGAAATACTAGAGTAAAAAACAGCAACAAATCCATACGTGGTGCTTGTTGGATGTTATATTTTAACATTGTAATACACATCAACTGCATTAAAACGATTTCCCGGCAGTGAGATACAGACAAATCTCTGAGATTGCCGTGCCGAGGGAGTTTAGAATGTCACCAGCCGCTTACCACGTTAAACAAGCACAAAAGGAAAGAATGAACAAGACGTTAGAAGTTATTATCAATGCCTCTTGGTGTAATTAATTCAAATTTATTTTTCAACAAACCACATCATGAGACATTTTAACTTAATCTTCGTAGTGTTCAATCATTCGTCTACTTTTGAGCTGGTTTCTATTTCTCTTTTGTGTCTTCGTTTGTCCCGTCTGCCGAGGAAGGCTCTTGGCCGAAACGTTCTTCTTATTCTATTTCAAGCTTCCAGATAACTTGTTCCACTATTTCCTTGAAACAAGGTTGAAAGCAGCCCCTTCATTTACTCTCTTCTTTTCTTCAACAAAATAACATTATTTAACAAGCAGTGTGAGAGCGGGATTTAGCATGGCGTATCGAAATATCGTTTACATGTACAATCAATTAAAGAGCAAATGTAAAAAGAACAGAAACAAAATTGAATGTACTTACAAGAGAAAAACATAATCATGACTAGAGGTAATAGAAACGTATAGTCCATCTTTCTTTTTAAACAAGGTTATTATTTAATTAATTGGTTTTCAATGAAATGTAGGTCAAGGACAGCGCCGGGAAAGCCTGAAAATTGCGCCGCCATCCCGTTTTTATTTATCAATGATATAGGGGTATGCTCAAATATATATATATATTGCTGGCATCCGTCCGTCACAATGTGACGATGGTGTAAGCTTCGGAGGACGAAATCCACATGGCCTGGGATTATATTTCAAAGATTATAAGCTGGTTCCCAACAGCAAATCGCCTCTCTCCACGCCGCTGGGTAACCCAAGGGAACATCATTGGATGATACAGCTTGGCACCAGTGACGTCGCAGGAGTTGCCGGAATGTTTTCATTGTATCAATGTTATCCGCCTTTCAGAGTTTCCTTCTCTTAGATGAGTTGCCATCCAAGGTTAACGAGTCTCATCTACTCGGGGTGCTGGGTAGATTGCTTGACTGGGCTCTGGCTGGAGTTGACCACCAGCTTGAGATTTGCTCAGTTTAGACCATTCGGCCACCCAGCACCATATATATATATATATATATATATATATATATGTATATATNATATATATATATATATATATATATATATATATATATATATATACATATATAAGGATAATTTACGATTTTAGTGGCTCTACCCCTTCTCACCCATCTCACCCCCACCCTTCACACAGCACTGGGTGGGTCATTCCATGATTTACCTGCCAAGTAAGACATTGTTCTATTTGCGCACGTTTAAAATGAAGCCTAACTTATTTTTTTTTTAAATTGTTGACCCGGTGCGATGGACGAATTTCCAGAATTTTTCCCACAGGAAATTTTCCACAAAAATGGATGCCTCAATAGAATCGAGTGCTGGTGGACGCTGGCACGCTTCGCAAACATTTGAATCTAGATAATATGTATTTTTAAAATAATTTTAAGCTAACAATAGGCTTTGAAAAAATATGGAAATACTCGAGATAATCATCAAAATATTCTTCTTTAGGTAAATTAACATTTCACATTTATTAATTTCTTTTCTTTTTTTTTTTAATTTCTTTAATCGCTTAATGTATTAGTGAATCTAATTATACCTCGGTAAATTGTTATTTTAATCTTCTGAAACATTTAAGAGGCTAATAAATATCGATAACTTATACAATCATCGAATACTTTGGACAGACCTACATATTATGTATACCAGTTACCATAATGTAGTCCCTTCCTAACAAAAAGGAAATATGCCAATAAGTTTGACAACATAAAAATACAAATTTAAAAGACTTTGAATATCAACGTTAGGGGAAAAACAATTTTCTTAATCCCGCTCAATCATGCAAGGATCGTTCCCCACCACCACAGCTCCACCCCTGCCACTATGCATTCAAGCTTGAGGCCACGTTATCGCCCCTTATTGACACTCATTAGAATGTAATCATGTCAGGTGTTAATGCGCGCCTACTCTGTTTGACTTTTGTTATCGTCCCATCCATTAGACGCTGTTAGATCATGGCTGTGTTTTTCACAAATAAACTAAATAAGCTTTCCCATGTCCTGGCAACATTTAGTACAGTGAGGTGTGGTTGTAGCTATCAGTACAGTGAGATGTGGTTGTAGCTATCAGTACAGTGAGATGTGGTTGTAGCTATCAGTACAGTGAGATGTGGTTGCAGCTTTCAGTACAGTGAGATGTGGTTGTAGCCTGACGTATGCTTCTGTAACAAAGGAGCCATGTATCAAAATGAATTTAGCAGTTCAAACAAATTTCAAACGGGCACTGTATAACACTCTTATGAGGACTGTAAACACTCTTATGAGCTCTGTATAACACACAAATAAGCACTGTATAACACTTAAATGAGCACTGTATAACACTCAAATGAGAAGTGTATAACACTCAAATGAGCAGTGTATAACAATCAAATGAGCACTGTACAGAACTTAAATGAGCACTGTATAACACTCAAATGAGCACTGTATAACACTCAAATGAGAAGTGTATAACACTCAAATGAGCAGTGTATAACACTCAAATGAGCACTGTACAGAACTTAAATGAGCACTGTATAACACTCAAATGAGCACTGTATAACACTCAAATGAGCAGTGTATGACACGCAAATAAGCACTGTATGACACGAAAATGGGCAGTGTATAACACTCAAATTAGCACAGTATAACACACGAATGAGCAGTGTATGACACACAAATGAGCACTGTATAACACTCAAATGAGCACTGTAGAAAACTTAAATGAGCACTGCATAACACTCAAATGAGCAGTGTATAACACTCAAATGAGCACTTTATAACACTCAAATGAGCACTGTATAACACTCAAATGAGCAGTGTATAACACT